ATATAATGTTTGTTTTTGGTTTTTTTGAGACAGGTTCTTACAGTGTAGTTCAGGTTGGCTTTAAACTCACTATGTAGCCCAGGCTGGCCTTGAACTCATGGTAATCCTGCTTCAGCCTCCTCCAGAGTGCTGGGATTATAGGCATGTGCCACCAAGCCCAGCTCAACAATATATTTTTTAGACAGGGTCACACTGTATAGTCCAAACTGGTCTGGACCTTGCAATCCTGTCTTACCCTCTCAAAAACTCTGTGGGGGATTATACGCCAGGTGCAGTGGCGCAATTTAAGGTCAGCCTGAACTACAGAGTGAGACCCTGTCTCAATAAAATAAATACCAGGATTCCAGGGCTGGGGGTATAGCTCAGCGGCACAGTGCCTTGCTTGGTAAGTGCAAGGTCCTGAGTTCGATTTCTGGTACAAAAAAACCAAACAAACCAGGATTCCAGTTGTATGAGCTCACTTCTTAAGTGCTACTGAAATTCTTTTGTCCTGTTACTTTCACCAGCAAAGGGCACAATCAAATGCTTTTGTAGAATCAAAATGTTCAGTAATTTGGGCTACAATGATCCAAACCTTGAATAATTTTAAATTTTTTTTATTGTTTTCAAATGTCTTTCAATTTTTTTTTTTTTTTTTTGCATTTTCAGTAAAAATATTGTCTAAATTTTATTTTTCAGGCCAAAGTTTCAAGAAATCAAAACTCTTTTCAATTGTATTCAGTGTTTGGATCAAATAAATAATTATAGTACATATGTAGAATTGGAATCAAGAATTACTAATTCTTGCCAGGCATGGTGGTGCATGCCTGTAATCCCAGCACTCGAAGGAAGAGGCAGGAGAATTGCTCCAAGTTCAAGGCCAGCCTGGGCTACAAAATGAGTTTAAGACCAGCCTAAACTGCATAGTAAGACCCTGTCTCAAAAAACCAGAAGCCAAGGTCAGGGATATAGTTTAGCAGCACAAGCACAGGTCCTGAGTTTGATTCCTGGTATAAAACAAAACAAAATAAAATGTTGCTGGGCGTTGTGGCACACTCCTGTAATCCCAGCACTCAGGAGGCTGAGGCAGGAGGATCCTTGCAAGTTCGAGACCAGCCTGGGCCACAAAGTGAGCTCAAAGCCAGCCTGAATTGCATAGCAAAACCCTGTCTCAAAAAGACCAAAAAAAAAATTAAAAAACAGAAAACAAAACAAAACAAAAAGAATTACTAATTCTTCAAAACCAAACAACAACAACAAAAAACAATAAGTACAGAAAGTGTTGGACTGCAAGATACTACAGCTGTACTTGGAGCCCTGGAGGGGACACAAACAGCACTTTTTTTTTTTTTTTTGGCTTTTTTTCCGGTATCAGGAATTGAACTCACGACCTCACACTTGCCAGGCAGGCTCTGTGCCACTGAGCTAAATCCCCAGCCCCTCAAACAGCACTTTCAAGGCTGGAGCAGGGTAGGAACACTCCCAGAAGTCTGGATCTAGGTCTGTCCTGCACCTGGTTGTTAGGGCCAGCAAGCCAAGAGTGGTTTTGTTTTGTTTTGGTTTTGGTACTGGGAATCAAACTCAGGACCTTGTGCTTGCCAGGCAGACACTGTGCCGCTGAGCTATATCCCTGGCCCTGGTTTGATATTTTAAAATGGTTGATAAAAATGTAATGAAGTAAAAAAAAAAAAAATTAAAAAAAAAATAATGATATGGGCCAGGAGTATAGCTCAATGGCATAAGTGCCTGCCTGGCAAGCATAAGGTCCTCAGTTCGATTCCCGGTACCAAAAAAAAAAAGAGAAAGAAAAAAAAAAATAATGATGAAAGGCCGGGCGTGGTGGCACACGCCTGTAATCCCAGCACTCAGGAGGCTGAGGCAGGAGGATCCTGGCGAGTTTGAGGCTAGCCTGGGCTACAAAGTGAGCTCCAGGCTAGCCTGAACTGCATAGTGAGACCCTGTCTCAAAAAGACAAAAAGACAAAAAAAAAAAAAAAAAATTAAAAAAAATCTAATGAAGTCTCAGTGGCAGCCCATGCCTATAATCCCAGTAGTCTGGGAGGCTGAAGCAAGAGGATCCCAAGTTTGAGTCTAACCTGGGCAACCAACTGAGACCCTGTTCAAAATAAAAAATTTCAAAAGGGCTGGGGATGTGGCTCACTGCAAAGCCCTTGGCTGAGTTCAATCTTCAGTACCGTAAAAGAAAAAAACAAAACTCATACATGTATACTTTGTGATCTGTTGATATTTAAATTTCAGTGTCATGAACAAAGTTTGACAGGAACACAACCGGGGCCATGTGTACTTAGCAACAGTCTGTGGCACTTTTGTGCTGCAGCAGGAAGAGAGGAGTTGCACCAGAGATGGTCTGGCCTGCAAAGCCCAGATACCGACCAGCTCTGCAGAGGACAGCTTGCTCATCCCCAAACCACAGCTAAAGAGCAGCTTCGTTTCGCGATAAAAGAGGCAGCAGCCAGTGGCTTGGGGGTGGGGGGTACAGAGATAGGGCAGAAAGATGGAGCCTGGGTCCTGGCCGCACAGGCTGCCTCACAGGAGGGTGGGTCCTCACACAGGGACTTTTAACTGAGGAATCCCAGGAGTTAGTCTGCTCCCTGATTTCCCCTCTCTGGGTTCAAACCCTCAGTCTCACTTAATTGCCTGGTCTGGCTTGGAGCTTGCAATCCTCTTCCTGAGCAGCTGGAATTTCAGGCACCTGGCTCCCTCATCCAGTCCTCTTTTCCTCTTCCCTCAGAGCTCTGTGGCACAGTTCTAGGAGATTCACGCAAGGCTCAGAAGAGTCTTGCACGCAGCCCCCGCCTGCAGCCTTCCTCCTCGGCCTCCCCCAGGTTGTTCCAGCCGTGTTCTGTGTGCAGAGAACTCTGTCTCATTTCTGCTTCCCCGCATGTCCCCATCCACTGGTGTGGCCAATGTTTCCGGGGAGCAGACAGCCGTGTCCCGTGATTTGAACCAGCCTGGGACATTTTTCTATCCACTCCTACCCGCCTTCCAACCTCAGCCCTGAAACACCCTCCTTTCAAGATTTTCCCCATCTCCCATGTCAAGGAGCCCCAAACCAGCCACGTGGGGCACACACCTGTTATCCCAGCACTCTGGGAGACTGAGGCAGGAGGATCTCAAGTTTGAGTCTAGCTTGGGAAACCTATAGAGACCCTGTCTTAAAAAATTAAAAAGGCCTGGGGATGCTGCTCAGTGCAATCCCCACTACTGGGGGGCCGGGGTGGGTGCTAGCTTTGCTGAGGTTAGCCCAGTTTCTCACTCTTGAGTTTGTGTTTTCCCTGGTACTGAGGACTAACCCCCGGCCTTTCACACTGAGCTGTATCCCCGCCCTTTCTGTTTTTGAGACACTCTTGCTAAATTGCCCAGGCTAGACTCAAAGTTGTAATCCTCCTGCTACAGCCTCGAGACTGCTGGGAGGCTGTGCCACTGTGATGCTGTGCAGTCCAGGCGTTGAACTCAAGACGCTGCCACCACCGCCACCACAACCTCCCAGGTGCTGAGACTCCAGGGGTGTGCCACCAGGCCTGCCTTCTCTCTTGTTGACAGACTTAGACTTTTAGGTACTTTCCTGAGACTTTCTACTTCCTGTTCAAAGAGGGAGTCTCTCTCACCTCTTACCTGCCTGTAACAAATAAACCCCTCTACACTAACTGCCCCACCCTGCTGCTTCCCAGCACTGAGTCTTGAATTTAGGGGTGTTGGGGAGGGAGAGTAACAGCGTCCGAACAATAACCTTCAGTAGCAAAATGCCCCTCACTCAGTTGACTTGGGGAGGGGAGTTGTTAAAATGAAGTCTCAGTCAGGCATGTAAGCTCTTGGGAGGGAGGCTGAGGCAGGAGGATTCCTGTGAGCTCAAGGCCAGCCAACCTGGCCTCAAAACAAAACAAAAAGTCTCTAATTATAAAACTAGGGATAAGGGAAGACCAAGAAATGAAAGATCTGGTTGGAGAGAATGTGGCAGAGAGAAGGACTCAACCCCTACATTTCTCTCTCCCCACCGCTTTTGATGTCTACCTGGGTCTCCTCCAGGTTCCTGAGTGAGGAGGGCTGAAGGCAGCGACACAGCCCTGGCCATAGCCCCGCTCCGGTGCCCTGCTGCCGTCTCCCCGCCGCAGAGGTTGGACGTGGGTGAGTGGATGGGCGGGAATGTTACTCTCACAGCCCCGCAGCTTACGGGGAGGCCGCGGGCACTGAACGCAGTCAGGAGGCTGCACTTCAGCCAGGCGGGTGGGTCTTCACCCCAAGAGGCTGGGAGCAGAGGAAGAGTCCTGACACAGCAGTACTTTTTCTTTTTTTGCAGCTGGGGACCACAGCCCAGGCCCTGTGTATCCTCAGCACACTCTACACCAGAGAACCATGAACCACACCCCAGCCACCCCCACCCCAGCTGGACCTGAGGCCTCACAGCCAGCACTGAGGAAGGCGGCGTCCTCGGCACGAGCTTCCTGGTGCAGGTCCAGCTGGTTCCTGGTAGCTGGGCGTGGTGGCGCGAGCTTATAATCTCAGCATTCAGGGAGGCTGAGGCAGAAGGGTCATAAGCTCAAGGCCAGACTGGCAATTTAGTGATTTACCGAGAACTTGCCTCAAAATTAAAACTTTTTTAAAGGGCTGGGAATTTAGCTCAGGCTAAAGGCTCTCGGTTCAATCTCCAGTACTGAAGGGGAAAAAGGAACTTAGTTCACATCACAACCCCACCCCCATCTCAACTTCGGGGGTCTGGTTCCTCCGCGCCCTTCCCTATTTCTGCCCCAGTTCACCAAAACCAGGGGCCCCTCCGCCTCAGCGCTCTGCCCTTTGGTAGCAGCTTCCTCTCTCGGCCCTTCGAGAGTTTCGGAGGTCAGCAAAGGTGTCTGGCCACCCTGCACCCCCGGAGGGGCCAGGAAGAGGGGTTGCTGGGGGTCAGCTTCCCCTCGCTGGGAACTTCCACGCTGACCCCGTACTGACCTCGGGGACAGGGAAGGTGTCTTTAGGGGTGCGCGGAACCCCAGCCGTTAAGTGTGGGGAAGAAAGAGGGCAAAGCTGTAGTTGGGAGCCCACCCAGCAGGCAGAGGCTGTGAAGGGGCAGGCGCTCCCAGAGAGGGGGCGCTGAGGCTGGGACCCTCAGGGCTGCGGCTGCACGCTCTCCCCTGTGATTGGCTCTCAGACGCAGGCGGCACTGCAAGCCTGCCCAGCAACAGCCGGGAGAGGGCGGGCCGGGCTGGGCCGCCGACTTCCCGCGCGGCCGGGGACGGCCTGCGGACAGCTGCTGCAGCCGGCCGCGCCTCCCACGGCCACCCCGCCGGCTCGCTCGGGCCGCCTCCGACTGCGACAGGTCCCCCGGAGGCCCGGGCGGCCCCGACGCCGCCTCTCGGGCTGGGCGGCTTGGAGGCTCCTGCCCTGTGCCCCTTCCTCACCCCGCCCTGGGCTGCGGTCATGTCGTTATCTTTCCCCTCCGTTCCCTCTGCGCGGTCTTCGCCGCTGTCCTCCCCAACGCCGCCGTCCTTCCCGCCCGTCCGCTGCAGCCCGCGCCAAGCTGCGTCCCAGAGCGCGCTGAGGTGGCGGCGGCGAAGAGCAGGGAGCTTCCCGCCAGGCGGCGGCTCAGGGATGCCGG